GTTCTATGTAGAACCATTTTCTTTACTAAAGCACCCTTGGTTCTTTGCATCATGAAAGGGTTCTTTGGATTGACGGAAAAAATGTGCATGGATGTGCTATAGATGGTTCTATATAGAACCTTTTTGAAAAGAGTTCTTTCATTGTTGCAGGCTTGACACCGTAACAACAGAAGAACCCTTTTGGGTGCTGCATAGAACCATCTACACCCTTTAATCATGCCAAGGGTTCTTTGAGTGTTCATGGTTTCATATAGAACTATTTTCCTTACTAAAGAACTCTTGGTTCTTTGCATCATAAAAAGGTTCTTTGGATTGATGGAAAATGTGCATGAATGAGCTATAGATGGTTCTATGCAGAACCTTTTGAAAAGCATTCTATATAGCACCCAGAAGGGTTCTTCTATTGTTACAAGCTGTTCTTCTATTGTAAAACTGTTCATGGAATATAGAACCATGTTCTTTACTAAAGAACCCTTTTTAAGAGTGTGTCTTCCAACCAATGACCACTGGGACAAGCTCCAACACCTACAGTGAACTGGCTCCACCCAGTGGTCAGAGACAGAACTGCACACTGAGGTGAAAGCTGTGCATTTTACTGCCTCAAATGAGGTCTGAATGAGGCCTTCCACAAATAAGCACTTTTAAAACGCCTTTAAGAGTCACTACACCTTATTTACCTGTAACCTAGCAACAACAGACATCTGTTATAAAATAAACAGGATCAAAGTAGTATGTAAACATTGTTTAAACGTTTAAAAACAGTTCATACAGTCCATATAGGGAAACTTGGCTGCAATGGCCCATATTCAATATATTGTTTTTGTGATGCAACAAAAAACCAACACATATATCCACCTATTCCTTCAACAGCAGTTTAGCCCCGCCCACTCGTGCGTACAAGGAGTTATAAGGAGTGTTTCAGCCTGGACTGCTTGTTGAATGTGGTGCAATACACGACAACCAATCAGAACAGAGCTCATTTGCATATATCAGTCTTAAAGGAGCAGCTTTTTGGAAAAAGTTGTGTGAAACCAAATTACGGCTGTTTTTTGGCACATCAATGTAATTCTGAGTACTTAAATGTATTTAAAATGACTGAAATGTCTTAAAATCACTGTAATGTCTTCCTCTGTACAAACACCAACTCAACACTGCAAAACAGACGGATTTCCTCACTTTTTAAGCTGAAACAACAAATAATTTCTAAAATCTTACTACTTTTTGCGTATCGCTGTATTAATATTCAACATATCAACAGAAGAGCTGGAGCATTCGGAGCAGGACAGGAGCAGAATGGGAGCAGGACAGGAGCAGAACGGGAGCAGAACGGGAGCAGAACACTGAGAGAATGAAAGGGAAAGTAAACAGAAGCTTTTCGTTCGTTTCTGTGTGGAGTTTTATTTGAGTGAGGCTCTAAAACACAGACAGGGTCTCTAAATAAAGGTAATGAATCAGGTTTTCAGCTGGTAACAGATATTTAATCTAATCCGAGTCGGCGCCTCTTTAAAACCTCAACACTGTACAGTGTTTCCTGTAGAAATGATTACTGTAAAAAAGAGCTATATTCAATCAGCAGGTTAAAACGTGAGGGAGGTTCACTTTCCCGTCCTCAGGCCCCGCCCCTCGGTGGGTGTGGTTTATAATGACTGGAGAAGGGGGCGTGTCCGAAACACAGCTGTCTACTCCCTCTCAGCTATGGCCACCAGGTGAACCTCGATCTCCTCCTCAGTTAGAGTTCTGAAAGAGAGAGAGAGAGAGAGAGAGCGAGAGAGAGACAGAGAGAGGGGGGAAAAGGAGATACAGAGAGAGAAAGAAGCAAGAGAGTGAGAAGAAGAAAGCAGGAGAGAGGGAGGGAGAGAGAGAGATAAAGTGAAACAGACAGAGAAAGAGAGGTGAGAGAGACAAAAAGAAAAGACAGTGAGAGAAAGGAGAAAAAGAAGAGAGAAACAAGAGAGAGAGAAAGAGAGAGAGTTACAGAGAGAGTGAGAGCAAGAGAGAGAGAGGGAGAGAGAAAGATAGAGAGAGACACAGAGAGACAGAGAGAGGGAGAGAGAGAGAGAGAGGAGTGAGAAAGAGAGAGAGAGAGAGAGATACAGAAAGAGATACACAGAGAGAGAGATACAGAGAGAGTGAGAGCGAGAGAGAAAGAGATACAGAGAGAGTGAGAGCGAGAGAGAGAGAGATACAGACAGAAAGGGAGAGAGAGTGAGAGCGAGAGTGAGAGAGAGATAGAGAGAGAGTGAGAGTGAGAGAGAGAGATACAGAGAGAGAGAGAGAGAGAGAGAAAGAGAGATACAGAGAGAGAGAGAGAGAGGGAGAGTATTTGTAAGCACTGTGTCCATAGTTCAATCTGCAATGATTTAAGTTCTTGTAATAAATAAGTATTAAATTAATTAATTAATTGAATCTGAAACACACCTGAATTTGGGGTTCTCTTTACTAACCACGCCCACCTCCAGCTCACTGGACTTGAAGTCCAGCGATAAAACGGACGACAGGCAGGAGATCGCCATCTAGAGCACAGCAGGAGAACAGAAGAGTTAATCAGAACGGTTCTTTAGAAATGAGTCTGAGGCTGCGTTCACACAGCAGGTAAAAGTGGCCCAAATCTGATTTTCTCACCAAATCCGATTTTTTTGTTCAGCTGTTCACATTACCTTTAAAGGTGATCTGTATTCGACATCAGTCTGAACAGATCAGCTCCCAAACCGAAAAAGACCAGTGCTTCACATGGCGGCTCGTCCAGAGGTAAACAGTCATGACGGCCAGTGAACGCCAGTCGCTCCTGGAGCTTCAGTTTCACCTTCACCAGCATCACAGGAGCGAGTATAAAGTTCCAGTGGTTGACAGCTGGACTCATCACCCACAGTGTGTTCGAGTTTGCCGTAAAAAGGGCTCGTTATTCACCCACGGCCACTTCTTCGGTTCGTGTCCTCGGATTCTTTAAACCTTTGATGAGTCTCTTCTAATGTTTTAGTACAGAAACATCAGCCTAAATGTTCATCAGCCTCAGCAGCGCGAAATTATGACGAATGTCGAGTTGGACTGACGTAAAAGTTGCATGAATTCCGATCTGACTGTTCAGACTGAGTCGCGTTGCCGCAGATCGGATGCGTATCGGATTTCAGTACCACATATGAAAGCGTCTCAAATCGGAATTGAAAATGTCAGACTCAGTGTGTTTATCTGTTCACACTGACACACAGACACACATCTGAGTCTCATATGAGGAAAAAGATTGGATTTGGGCCACTTTTACCTGCTGTGTAAACGTAGCCTTAGTCACTCATTGAGCGCAAAACCTCGGGGCAGGTCACACTAACCAGACTCTACCCGTCCTCTAAGCACAGTGAGCGCGAACAATAGGGCCCCAACAACACTATGCTGCAAAACAGTGCTCAAAAACAGCCCCCTTGGTTGAGAAACCCTGGACTATATAACCTACTACCACCCAAAATGCTGCTATATATTTGCTATGCGACGCTATTATGGAGTTAATTTTGTGCCAAAAGTTTCAAATAAAATATTAAAATCCACAAGCAAAATATTAAGCATCAAAATATCCAAAATATGTTGCAAATACAAATAATGAAACTTATTTTTTCAAAAAGATTACTACTCATTTTCACTCATTCTGATATGTTTTACTCATTTCGACAGTCTTGGCTTTAATCGCTGATACATATTTTGCTTCTGAAACTTTTCTTTTGCTTCTGACTATTGGCACTTTTGAACAGGGGGTGGGTCTTAGAAGAGGGCGTTCACCTGCACTTTCTATTGGTCAACTGATTTGGAGTGACAGGTCAACACTATAGTGTATCTACTGGTTCTTAAGGAGGGAAACTAACTAAATCCACAATTTAACAGGTAACACTTATGTTCTTCATCATATTTGAAGTTGTACTGAAAGTAAAAGGGGTGGGGCTTATGCTATTGACACACCCACATTTACATGAGCCAAATCAACTATATACAATCAGTGGTGCATGATTACAACTCTTTAGAATCAAATACTGAAGAATTAAAATAAAAATCTAATTTAATTTGGGTGCAAGAATCAAAAATTATATCAAACGTGAAAATGTGTCGTTATTCCTACTACAATACTGATCATTTCTGATGAACAGATGAAATATGGTAGTTATAATATTTCACTGAGATACGAGGTTTTGTTCATACAGCAGCGATATATGACGTAGTGGTTTCTAATACTGAACACTTTTCCTTCTACGTCCGTCTAACCAGCCGAGTCGAGCCCTGTAATAGTTTCTGTCGTTATCTGTCTGATTTCCTCCTCAGTGTTCAAGCTGGTGCTGCTGTTCTACCTCCACCGTCCTGTCGAAGGTGAGCTCTGGCCTCTTTTTCAGCTTTTTCTCCAGGTAGCTGTTGGCCTCCGTCTGTTTGGCGCCGACGGCTGTGGCCCGGAACCCGCAGAAATACCCGGCCGGGTCACACTTGTACAGCACGGGGCCGAGCTGAGGGTCTATCGCCACCAAGATCATACCTGAGAGAGACCACCAGTCAAGAACAAGTCATGTTTTCACAGCATCCGATCATTAAATCAAAATCACACAGAGATAATTTAACACCTGGAAGCCACAGCCTGCTTTACATTTCATATTTTATATGTTTTATATTTCATATGAGCCCAATAATGTCTATGCAATTTCCTTTGGTGCATGTCAGAGTAGGATATCCAATCATTTTTCAAAGTTTCTGCATTATTAAATGGTTAAGATGTAAACAGAGTCATTCAGAGTGGTTTGGTGTGAAACACTCTGTTCTAGATAAACTTACTGAGTCAGAACTGAATGACTTTGTTTATGTTCCACCAGCTGAATTATGCAGACAATTTTTTTAAAAAATCGCAGGAATTCCCTTTAAAAAACAACAGAAAATCCAAACATTTTTGTTTGTAAATAAATATACAAATTGCATTTAATCAAAAAATATATCTGAGCACTGTTAAATGTCCTTGCAGAGTATAACTACATTAAATTTGTGTCACTTAGACCAGCCACAACAAGCTCTGTGGAGCTCATCCTACTAAACTTGCGCTACTTATTGCGCTACTTTATTGAGTTACTGCAAAACAAACATACAAGATTAAATATATATGTAACTGTCTGTTACAACATACAAACTCACATCATTTCCAAGCTTTAAAGCCCTGTGTTTCAACTAGAACGGCCTAAAAAATGTTCATGTGCACCAACATACTATTGGACATCCCATAGAGGAGCTAGCAAAGATGAGCATTATTATTGAGGTGGGTTTTGTGGCTGAAGGCCAATGTTTCACCACTGATATTGATACCACTTTTACAGCAGAACAGAGTACAGGGCACGAGACAATACAGAGAAAGAGGCGCATGTTGACGATAAACAGTAAACAGGAAGTGGACTCACAGCAGCCGAGCGGCCTCATCTCAGCGTTCTGTGTGTAAACCTGAGAGATGTCCGCGACGCGTCGGCACAGCATGTCCGCCGTGATCTCGTAACCGAACTTATACTTCCACTCGGCAGCTTCGATGCGAGCACGATGGACCTGCGAGCGGCTGTCCGCTAAACAACAACAACAACAACAACAACAAGAGTGTTAGCACATTAGCGCATGAGCTTTTGAAGACAAATAGAAATAGTGAAGCTTACCAGCACCAAACAGAGCATATCGCTGTTGTCTGCAGAAAACCTCGTATCTCCAAAATGGTAACTTTACAGGAGAAGGAAAAAACCTACTTTACTTTTAATGTAAGTCAATGGAACCAGACTTTTTTCCAAGTCATTTTGGGACGTTTCTTTTGGTCCATTCATCTTGAAATTCAAACACATTATAAAGAGTAACAGGTGTTTTCAAATTATGTCAAAAACTGGAAAATGTCAAAATTGGAGATACGAGGTTTCAGCAGCAGTATCCTGGTTTTGGTGGTGTCCAGCTATGCTAGCAGTCTTCTAGCAGGGTTAGCAGACTCTAGTACTGTTATTAGCAGGGGGCTATGAGTGAGTTTGACATGGGGGGGCCACATTTGCTACTATGAATCTGCCACTGAAGTCACAGAGCTGAATAGCTGCTTGACAACAGCTCTGAAGTGACTCAATGGGCTTACTGTAATATTTCTGTTTATTGATCTGAGAAACTGGCACTGAACAGTATGAAGACACTCGAAGAAGTGCTTACTTGTGTTCCCTGATGAAGCTGAAGTCAGATTCTTATTCAAATTTAGCTGTTCCACCTTAAATGGTGCGGCAGTTATTAGCGCCTGCCGCACTGTTTAAGATTAAATGGGCATTTGAAGAAAAAGCTCACGGACTGGAAGCTGACTTCGGCCTCGTTGGACTCCATGGCTAAAATTAGGCTGATATGCAATGTTAGTCCTGTCTCACATGAACATCTCGTAAAAATTAGACAAAAAGTTTGATTTTATGTGGTGAAGTTGTTTTGTTTGCTGTGAATTCCAAAGCTAATGGCGAAAAAAAATGATGCCGTTTTGGAAGTGCGATTTTTTGCCACAGAGTTCTTCAGCTGGGCAACCGTATGGACCCGTGAAAAAACATATGGAGCCCTGCGGAACCGTATGGAGCCCTGGGGAACCGTATGGAGCCCTGAAAAACCATATGGAGCCATGGGGAACCGTATGGAGCCCTGGGGAACCGTATGGAGTCCTGGGTAACCATATGGAGCAATGAAAAACCGTATGAAGCCGTGGGGAACCTATGGAGCCCTGAAAAAAACGTATGGAGCCATGGGGAACCATATTGAGCCCTAAAAAACTGTTTGGAGCCTTGAAAAACCATATGGAGCCCTGGGGAACCGTATAAAGCCCTGAAAAACCATATGGAGCCCTGGGGAACCATATGGAGCCCTGAAAAACCGTATGAAGCCATGGGGAACTGTATGGAGCCATGGGGAACCGTATGGAGCCCTGAAAAACTGTATGGAGCCATGGGGAACCATTTGAAGCCCTGAAAAACCATATGGTTCCCCAGGGCTCCATATGGTTTTTCAGGGTTTCAAATGGTTCCCCATGGCTCCATAAATTTTTTCAGGGCCCCATACGGTTCCCCATGGCTCCATACATGGCTCCAGCCCTGAAAACCGTATAGAGCCCTGGGGAACCATACGGAGCCCTAAAAAACTGTATGGAGCCTTGAAAAACCATATGGAGCCACAGGGAACCATACGGAACCCTGCGCAACCATATGAAGCCCTTAAAAACCATATGGAACCCTGGGGAACCATACTGAACCCTAAAAACTGTATGGAGCCTTGAAAAACCATATGGAGCCCTGGGGAACCGTATGAAGCCCTAAAAAACGTACGGAGCGCTGAAAAACTGTACGGACCCCTGGGGAACTGTATGAAGCCCTGAAAAACCGTATGGAGCCCTGGGGAACCGTATGAAGCCCTGAAAAATCATATGGAGCACTGTGGAACCGTATGAAGCCCTGAAAAACCATATGGAGCCCCGGGGAACCGTATGAAGCCCTGAAACACCATATGGAGCCCCTGGGAACCGTATGAAGCCCTGAAAAACCATATGGAGGGTGGGGGAACTGTATAAAGCCCTAAAAAACTGTATCAGACCCTGGGGAACCGTATGTCCCTGAAAAAGACCCTGTCTGAAAGGAAGCTTATGAGCAAATGGTTTTAGCTTTGAGTTTTTTTTCCTTGACTTTGTTGACTTTGTTGCCATCACATTTTTACTATGTTGTGCCTTTGGGGAGTGAACACATGCTTTATATGTCAGGATGGTTCACTGATAGTTAGGTTTATGTTCAGTCTTATGTGGAATGAAGCATCTGGAAAAAGGTATCTAGCCATGTTAGCCTCTTCAGCCTCAAACTCTGCCTCAGACGGATAACTAACTGTATGCGTATGACTGACTTCGTTTAATGGTGCATAGCGCCTGATTTTGAGTCTTTTTTCAAATGCTAAAATCCGTTAAGTCTCAAATATTAACTATAATCATTCATACACACGTGGTTTTTTTAATGAGGCCCAATACATGGAGCCAATCAGAACAGAGCTTATTTACATAAAGCAGTCTTAAATGTGCCAAAAAAATTAGCTATAAAATTGAAAAATAATATTTTTCACACTGCAGCTACACAAGAGGACCAAATTACACACATGGGTAATGGGTGTTCGTTATTGGTCAGACATTTTACTGTCACAATAGTAATAACAGTAAACTTTACTCGATACCTGCTTCTATTTGATTGTTTTACCAAGTTGTATTTAACCAATCAAGTCACTGATATTTGTCTAATAATATGCTCCATAATCTATGAGCCAAAATTAAAAGTAAATCTTCACTTTTATATAATATAAAATATATTATATATGATGTTTAAAGAGGCTGGTTAAGCAGACAGTACAGCGCTGATGTGCGGTCTGGTGTCAAATTGGTGTTTGATTCGGACAGTGCACAGCGAACTGAAGCAGGGGTCTCCAGACTCGGACCCTGACCTGGTGCAGACTTGAATACAGGTGTTAACATGTCTAAAACGGACTAAAGTAAAAGTTTGATGGGCACCAAAACAAGGTGGGTGCAAAAGTCTTAACTCTCAGTTAAGAAATATCCAAACTGACATTTAGTGAATTTCACAGTATAGTAACGTAAACTGTGGTCAAACGTACCAGTTCATGTGTCACAGTAAAAACATTTTAACCAGAATAGTGATCTGCAGCTCCTCTCACTGCACATGAACTCACTGTTTGAGAAACGTCCTGAAACGGAAATTGTGATTGGCTGTGCCAAGTTTTTTTGTCTAGGGGTCAGCGCTCTGCAAGCATTAGTGTCCTGAACTCAGTCAGGTAGCAGTGGGTTGTCACTTCAGCACTTGCAGTGAAAAGTGGTGAGTCAAATCCCACTCAGCCCTCCATCGTGGTCCTGGAAGCCCTTCAAATGTACCATCCTGTACGTTGTTATCACAGTGGTTTGATAAAAAACCTGGAAAATAGATGATGAGTACCCCCAACACTATAGCTTGGTGAGTACTCACTCACTGGTCATCTAAGTCGCTTATCCTCCTGCGTCACAGGGGGTGCTGGAGCCTATCGCAGCGTTCAATGAACTGGAAGGCAAGAAACACCCTGGACAGGCTGCCAGTCCAACACGGTACGGGTAGTTCACTTCAATGTAGAAATACAATGTTGTGTTTCTTTGCTAGTTGTGGTGTTCAAGGCACTAACGTTGCTAACGTTTACCTGGGCTGCATAAAATAAGCCATTAATTCAACATAATTAGTCATAATGTTCAGTGCACGGGATCCCCTTGCTCCATTGCTCAGGCTCCTACCTACAGCGCCAACCACAGTGCGTTTCAGGTGATGCTTGCACATTAAAATGAATGGGATCAGTCAGTCACTCAGTGAGAGACAGACTGGAGCGGTCCAGCAAACAAGGAGGAGTTCTGACTAAACTATGTTGGGAAAGTTAAAAAAAAGCACTGACTTTAAGTTTCGTGTTGATCTGATTTTAATTATTTAGTTTGTAGCTTTAGTGCTAAAAGGAAAGAAACAAACACGACACCAAACATGTCTTGGTTGAACTTCATTCAGGGGGTAAGTATTGTTTTTACCACACACACACCAATAAACTTCAGCCTAAGCGTACATTACAGAAAGACCAGATACTGACCATAATGTCCAGTCATCACACATCCGATGCGCGACGTGAGGCGGAACATGTTTGTAATAGTAGAAGCATCCAGAAGCTTATCCTGCATGTGTTTGAGGAGAAAGAGAAACAGATATTAATTGAGCAAACAAGCCGAAATGTTATACAGTGTAAACGGTTGAAGTCATTCAGAGTGGTTTGGCGTGAAACATTCCATTCTAGAGAAACTTACTGAGTCAGAATTGTTCACAGTGGTGGTGATAGGAACCAGGCGTCCACATCTAAAAGCTCCCTCAGGGATTTGTGAGACCCCAAAATAAAACATTTCCACTATTTTTCCATCATCAACATCCCATATAAACTCAGAAGACTCGTGTAGGTTCACTGCTGGTTCTGGATAGTAAATAAAATGTCTATATTTGTGTTGTAGTCATGGTGACCCCTGGTTCCTATCACCACCACTGTAAAGACATCTGAACCATTTCACACCAAACCACTCTGAATCTCTCTGTTTACATCTCACACACTGAATTATGCAGGCATTTCGAAAAATTTTAAAAATCAACAGACTTGCCTTTTTCTAGCATGAAAAGGCTGCCAGAACTTACCGGGATTTTCTTCTGTGTGACGACTACAGCGCAGTCTGTTCCTCTGATGCCCACGGAGGTCAGGCCGCTCTGGGCGATGGCCTTGAAGGCATATTCTGCAGGGGAAGTGTCAAGGCAGGATAGTATTTTCAGTATTAAAGCTGCAATAACTAGGATACATAACTAGACCACAGTTAACTACAAGGCTAATAACTACATTACAGTTAACTACAAGGCTAATAACTGGACCACAGTTAACTACAAGGCTAATAACTGAACTACAGTTAAGTACAAGGCTAATAACTGAACTACAGTTAAGTACAAGGCTAATAAGTGGACCACAGTTAACTACAAGGTTAATAAGTGGACCACAATTGACTACAAGGCTAATAACTGAACTACAGTTAACTACAAGGCTAATAACTGAACCACAGTTAACTACAAGGCTAATAACTGAACTACAGTTAACTACAAGGCTAATAAGTGGACCACAGGTAAATACAAGGCTAATAACTGGACCACAGTTCACTACAAGGCTAATAACTGAACCACAGTTAACTACAAGGCTAATAACTGAACCACAGCTGACTACAAGGCTAATAACTGAACCACAGCTGACTACAAGGCTAATAACTGGACCACAGTTCACTACAAGGCTAATAACTGAACCACAGCTGACTACAAGGCTAATAAGTGAACCACAGTTGACTACAAGGCTAATATTTACACTACAGCTGACTACAAGGCTAATAACTGAACTACAGTTGACTACAAGGCTAATAACTGAACTACAGTTGAATACAAGGCTAATAACTGAACCACAGCTGACTACAAGGCTAATATTTACACTACAGCTGGCTACAAGGCTAATAACTGGACCACAGTTAACTACAAGGCTAATAACTGAACTACAGTTGACTACAAGGCTAATAACTGAACTACAGTTGAATACAAGGCTAATAACTGAACCACAGCTGACTACAAGGCTAATATTTACACTACAGCTGGCTACAAGGCTAATAACTGGACCACAGTTAACTACAAGGCTAATAACTGAACTACAGTTGACTACAAGGCTAATAACTGAACTACAGTTGAATACAAGGCTAATAACTGAACCACAGCTGACTACAAGGCTAATATTTACACTACAGCTGGCTACAAGGCTAATAACTGAACCACAGTTAAATACAAGGCTAATAACTGGACCACAGTTGACTATAATGCTAATAACTGGACCACAGTTAACTACAAGGCTAATAACTGAACTACAGTTGACTACAAGGCTAATAACTGAACTACAGTTGACTACAAGGCTAATAACTGAACTACAGTTGACTACAAGGCTAATATTTACGCTACAGTTGACTACAAGGCTAATAGCTGAACCACAGTTGACTACAAGGCTAATAACTGGACCACAGTTAACTACAAGGCTAATAACTGAACTACAGTTAACTACAATGCTAATAACTGGACCACAGTTAACTACAAGGCTAATAACTGAACCACGGACTAATAAACAGACCCACAGCTCGCTCTGCTGGTCAGGCCGGATGTTTAAGGCTGGATTGGGAAGAGTGGAGGAGGATGAGTGGAGGGGGAACAGCGGAGGGGGATGAGTGGAGGGGGAACAGCGGAGGGGGAAGAGTGGAGGGGGAACAGCGGAGGGGGATGAGTCGAGGGGGAACAGCGGAGGGGGAAGAGTGGAGGGGAGATGAGCGGAGGGAAGAGCGGAGGGGAAGAGCGGTTAAGGAGGAGTGAGGATCTCACCGACTTGGTAGAGGCGCCCTTCGGGAGAGAAGATGGTGATGTGTCGATCAAACCCTGCGTTCGCTCCGCGAGACATGATTAAAGACTACAGCGCGAGATCAGCATCAACACGTCAGACTGAGCCCGGACGGAGAGAGAGAGACTCGGAGAGAGAGACTCGGAGAGAGACTCAGAGAGAGCGACCCGGAGAGAGACCCGGAGAGAGACTCTGAGAGAGAGAGACCCGGACAGACAGCGCGGAGAGGGAGCGGAGTGAATAAGCTCTTCTGCTTCCTGAAGCCGATTCTTTCACTTTCTGTTCGCCCGGCCGAGGCGGAGCTTCACGCGGAAGGAAGATGAACGTCTCGAGCTCAAAACAGCGCTTTTTATCATTTTTACATTTCATTTCATTATTTATTTCCGTCTGTGAAACAAAGGTTTTCTTAATTGATTAATCGATTTATTTATTATATTTTATGTTATCCGTCTCAGTCTGGGTCACAAAACAGCTTATTTTATTATTAAACCTTTAATTAAATATTTATTTCTGAATGTATTACTGAATTATTTGTGTCTCAAAGAGCAGAGGAATTCATTATTGACTGCTTTTTCATCTAGTAATACGTTTCAGCCTGAATCATTAAATAGTGCTTATTATTTTATTTTTAATTGTTTATTTAATAATTAATTTTGGTCTGAAACAAAAAGTCGGATTATTTATTTATTTATTTATTTAATTTATTTATTTATCTTTGTCATTTATTTGAGCTTGTATAATATCACAGCAAGTTTATCTATTTATTTGTATATTTGAACTTGTATTATATCACGATATGATTCTATATTTTTATTTATTTATTTATTTATTTATTTTATTTGTAATTTATTTTAGTTTGTGTAATATCACGGTATGGTTCTATATTTTCTTTATTTCTTTTAAATATTTTTATTTTAGTGTGTATAATATCAGTTTAATATCAGTTTCTTTTTTTTATTACTTTTTTATTGTTGCTGTTATGTGTATTTGTGGTAATAAACAGCTCATAAAGTCTCTATAACACACAGAGAGAGTTACATACACTCATCATCACCTACAGCACACACACTGTATCACTTACTGCTGGTGTTTTGTCTCGAGCTCGTCCTGGCCACGCCCCGCCCCCGTGCTCGCAGACACCCACATTCACACACACACACACACACACACGCACGCGCTGCGCGCTGATGGCGGGCCGCAGGGTGGGAGTGTGTGTGAGCGAGAAGAAGCGCAGGAGGATGAAGGTGGCGGCGCTGGCGGAGCTCTGCGCGTGAGTCTCTCTGAAACACTGAGCACCTCATCACACATTAAACAGCATCAATGACCACCCGGAGTGGACGCAGCAGCACATTAATGACCGTTTCCTCTGAACAGGAGCAGAGGGCTGCAGGTGGTGGAGGTCAGTCTCTCAGTCATCACTCACCCAGTACTGATCAGCCTGTTACCTCAACACTTACACCCAGAGCATCGATCAGCACTGACCACTGTCTAACACTGACCACTGTCTAACAGTGACCACTGTCTAACACACCCAGTGTGTGATTTATTTACTCATTTAGTTAGTTTTTTATTTTTAAATTCATTCAAGTATTTATTTATTTAAGAATTATTTATTTATTTATTTATTTAAGAATTATTTATTTATTTATTTATTTAAGAATTATTTATTTATTTATTTATTTATTTAAGAAAGTTTTTATTTATTTATTTATTAAATACAATATAAGATTGTTTATTTATTTTGTTGTTTGTTTATTAAAGTTTTTATTGTAACTGTAATTTTATGTAGTTTTTTACAAGTTCAGTTATTTTATCTGTTTCTATCAGTTAATTGTGTTTTAAGTAGTGTGTGTGTGTGTGTGAGAGAGAGAGAGAGAGGGTGTGAGAGAGAGAGACTGTGTGTGTGTGTGTGAGAGAGAGAGAGAGTGTGTGTGTGTGTGTGAGAGAGAGAGAGAGTGTGTGTGTGTGTGAGAGAGAGAGAGAGTGTGTGTGTGTGTGTGAGAGAGAGACTGTGTGTGTGTGTGTGTGAGAGAGAGAGAGAGTGTGTGTGTGTGTGTGAGAGAGAGAGAGAGTGTGTGTGTGAGAGAGAGAGAGAGAGAGAGTGTGAGAGAGAGAGACTGTATATGTGTGTGTGTGTGTGTGTGTGTGTGAGAGAGAGAGAGAGAGAGTGTGTGTGTGTGTGAGAGAGAGAGAGTGAGTGTGTGTGTGTGTGTGTGCGTGAGAGAGAGTGTGTGTGAGAGAGAGAGAGAGTGTGTGTGTGTTAAAGTGTGTCCACTGCAGGTGGTGTTACTCTTTACTGTCACTCACACCTGCAGTCACCTACTGTCTCTCACTCTCTCTCTCTCTCTCTCTCTTTCTTTTTCCCTCATTGTCTCTCTCTCTCTCACTCTCTTTTTCTCCCTCATCTTCTCTCTCTCTCACTTTCTCTTTCTCCCTCACTGTCTCTTTCACTCTCTTTCTTTTTCTCCCTCATTGTCTCTCTCTGTCTGTATGTCTCTCTCTCTCACTCTCTCTCTCTCTCTCGCTCTCTCTCTCTCTCTCTCACACACACACTCAAGTGAGGACCAGCAAAATGTCCTCACTTGAACCAAAGTGTCATGTCCTATCATTGTGAGGACATGTGGTCCTCAGAAGGATAGCAAGACAAGAACACAAACACACACACTTAAGGCAGTGGTCTCCAGCTCTGGTCCTGAGAGCTCCCTTCCTGCAGAGTTCAGTTCCTGTACTGAGTTAGCTGCCCCGCCCCCTTACTGAGCTCTAATACGTCTGATCAGCCAATCAGGGAGCTGGGAGGAGGCCGATTAGCTGGAGCAGCTGAGGCAGGTTGTGGTTGGAACTCGACTCCAGGGCTCCGTCTAAGCGTCGACTCTGTCATCAGCAGATCGCGAGTTCGATCCCCAGTGATGCTACCGCCGTCTGTGGCCGCAGGTCCAAGAGAGCACGACTGGCCTCGCTCTCTCTGGGTGGGCAGGATGGACCCCCCACTGATGTAACAGAGCTGGCAGTTAGTGTTCTCCTCCAAGCGTGTTCAGCTGTCCAATGGTGCTGCGTTAGACGCAGTGGCACTTCACAGGACTCGGAGGAAGCCTGTGTTTGCCTTGTCCTCCTAGCACTGGTGGTATCATGTGATTTAGGGGTCCTAACCAGTAGGTGGAATTGGAAACGACTAAATTGGGGAGAAAATTGGGAAAAAAATCCCAAAAAGTCCTGGAGGGGGGACCAGGGCTGGAGACCACCGCATTCACTCTGTCTCGTTTGCTCTCAGATAGACCTGACTCAGCCCATGGAGTCTCAGGGTCCGTTCGACGTCATAGTGCACAAACTGTCCGACGTCATCGTAGAGGCCGAACACGACAGCCAATCACAGCAGCTTCTCCACAACTTCCAGGTACTGCGACCAAAAACGGTGCACTTTAAATACTTTAAACACTTTTAAATACTTTAAACACTTTGAATACTTCGAATATGTTAAATACTTTAATGACTGTTTTACGGTCATTAAACACCGTCTGAAACAAGTAATGCGCCTGATTGGCTTCATTCAAATGGGTGTGCAAAAGTATGAACACCCCCGTCATATTATACGCTTTGTTGATTTTCTGTTACTTAATTACTTAACGTATCCTCCACAGAGAACACAGTTAACTACTTTTAGATTATACTGCGTAAGTGTTTTTAGTGCATTTAGTTACTAAATACTGGAAAAGTGAAACATAAAATATAAAGAAATTATTTATTTAGTTAGTTAGTCACCTATTACAATTTAATTATTTGTGTTTGTCAGTTTGTCTATATATTTGTTTGTTTGTTTCTGTCTGGATCACCAAGCATTTTTTATTTCGCTTATTTATTTATTCATTCAATAAGTTACTTAGTTATAAGTCTTGACCACCAAGTACCACTACTTGTTTGTTTATTTGTTTGTTTGTTAAATAGTATATTCATAAGTTACATGGTCTGTTGAATTTCTTATAAGCTATCATGTTCTCTACAGGGAACACACTTAACCCTCTATTGCACGATGTTGCCTCAGGGCAACAAACCCATTTTTCTCACTTCACAATAACATTATACACATTTAATGACAATGACAGGTTTAACAATAAAAGGCAGTCAGTAAAAAGTATGTACTTAGTCATACTATCTCTTAGTGGACACTTTTAAACCTCTTTTTAAACAATCTATATACCTTTATTTTTGTGATGAGAATTTGAAGAAATATGTTTGTTGCCTAGAAGCAACACTGGGTGACAGTGCAATGAAAGCCAGTCACAAGCCAGGTCTCACCACGTCAGGGAACACGGCTCTAAATCATTTCTTCCCATTGCCTCATGCTGCCCAAAAGGCCCCCTGCACACATTATTATTCCCAAAAATCTTTTTTTGAATTTAATAATTTGGTCCATTTTGTGCAAGAAAAGTGAAACTTTTTTTTTTTCCAAAACTTGTTTTCATAATGCATGCTGTAGGGAGTTAAATATGATGTATTCACTGAGTTTAATATATTGGAAAAATATATATATACTTATTTATCCATTTATTTATTATCCAGTATGTTCAATTCTGCAAATAAACAGCAACTGTGCAACTAAATGTGTAGATGTTTTTTTTTCACTTAAACTTTTTTTCACTTAAAAATTGCTATTTGACCAGGGGTGCACAAACTTTAGCACAAGACTGTATGTACTGGTTTACACATAAATAAAATCCATTGCGTTAAAGCCATTATTGTCAAAAGTCAGTAAACAGAGGGCAAAACCTGAGTAAAAGTCTGTATGTATTTATATACTTTAGGGATGACTGATAATATCAGAATCATATTGGTATCGGCTGATAATTAGTTTGAAAAAGTATTGGCAAATGTTTCTCAGTAAAGTTGTTCTCAGGTAGATTTAATCCCATGTTTTCTGTGTTTGATTGCTATCTGTCAGAATTATGTGTCTGCTCACCCTCGGACCGTCCTGCTGGACCCCCTGCCCGTCATGAAGCAGCTGCTGGACCGCTTTGCCTCCTACCGCATCATCAGCAAACTTCAGGACATGCTAAGAGGTCCTACTTAATTCAGATCAATTCAACTGGCCTCTCCAGGCTCCGCCCACAAACCCGCTCTTTTAGAGTTAATAAGTTAGACAAGACAGTTTATATCACAATACCTACATTTAGAGTCGGTTATTCATTCAGCCTAATGAGAAACTGTAGAACAGACTCGGTTTATATCACAATACCTACATTTAGAGTCAGTTATTCATTCAGCCTAATGAGAAACTGTAGAACAGACTCAGTTTATATCACAATACCTACATTTAGAGTCGGTTATTCATTCTGCCTAATGAGAAACTGTAGAACAGACTCAGTTTATATCACAATACCTACATTTAGAGTCGGTTATTCATTCAGCCTAATGAGAAACTGTAGAACACACTCAGTTTATATCACAATACCTACATTTAGAGTCAGTTATTCATTCAGCCTAATGAGAAACTGTAGAACAGACTCGGTTTATATCACAATACCTACATTTAGAGTCAGTTATTCATTCAGCCTAATGAGAAACTGTAGAACAGACTCAGTTTATATCACAATACCTACATTTAGAGTCGGTTATTCATTCTGCCTAATGAGAAACTGTAGAACAGACTCAGTTTATATCACAATACCTACATTTAGAGTCGGTTATTCATTCAACCTAATGAGAAACTGTAGAACAGACTCAGTTTATATCACAATACCTACATTTAGAGTCGGTTATTCATTCAGCCTAATGAGAAACTGTAGAACAGACTCAGTTTATATCACAATACCTACATTTAGAGTCGGTTATTTTCAGCCTAATGAGAAACTGTAGAACAGACTCAGTTTATATCACAATACCTACATTTAGAGTCAGTTATTCATTCAGCCTAATGAGAAACTGTAGAACAGACTCAGTTTATATCACAATACCTACATTTAGAGTCAGTTATTCATTCAGCCTAATGAGAAACTGTAGAACAGACTCGGTTTATATCACAATACCTACATTTAGAGTCAGTTATTCATTCAGCCTAATGAGAAACTGTAGAACAGACTCGGTTTATATCACAATACCTACATTTAGAGTCGGTTATTCATTCAGCCTAATGAGAAACTGTAGAACAGACTCAGTTTATATCACAATACCTACATTTAGAGTCAGTAATTCATTCAGCCTAATGAGAAACTGTAGAACATGACTGAATACAGAAGTCAGGAGAGGCCAAGAGGTAGTTATAATTTTCTGGATTGTTATCTTGAGATAACAAGTTGACTATCTTGTGATCTTGAGATAATGAGTTAACTATCTTGTGATCTCAAGATAAAGTTGTTATCTTGAGATAACGAGTTAACTACCTCATGATCTCTAGGTACCAAAGTTATCTTGAGACAACAAGTTCATTCTCCTGTGATCTCAAGACAACAAAGATGTTAACTTGAGAAACCAATTATCTTGTGATCTTAAAATAACGTTATTTTGAGATAGAGTTAATTATCATGTGATCTCAAGAAAACAAAGTTGTTATCTTGAGATAATGAGTTAACTATCTTGTGATCTCAAGATAATAATCCAGAAAATTATAGAAACAGCTCATGGCCTCTCCGCACTTCTGTAACTGAGTTTAGATCACAATAGCTTTTGAACTTGAAATGCAACACTGGGTAGCGACTCTGAACTCCAGCGTAAACTCATTAGGTTGAATGAGCTCTTGTCCAACGCAGCAGTTGCTAGGATGCAGTTGTGGGCGGAGCCTCAATAAGACAATTCAGTACGGTAAGCATTGTTGGCACAAATACATATAGTAACAGTACTGCACTGCTTTATGAAATGACCGAATAAACATGACGGTGGCAGTTTAGAGATGGATAAATGAATAAACTCCGTTTCAGCAGTTCAGTTTGGTGCAGCTTCATTTTCCTCATTAATTCTCTCCTGTTTTTTTCTCTCTCTATAAAGATAAGAATATTTGCTGCCCTCCATATTTAGAGATCAACACTGCCGACCTGTCCGCCGTCCAGGAAGCAGTGGACAGGAAGCAGCTCACGTACCCTTTGAGTCAGTCAAACAACGAATTATAAAACTTGATAAACACAATCCTGTCATGTTGTGTCAACTGACTACATTTCCCAGCATGCTCAGGTACACTTTTCATTTTCTGCCTGTTTTGTAGTCTGTAAAACCAGAGTGGCGCATGGATCTCGCTCACATGAGGTGAGTCCTCTCTCTCTCTCCCTCTCTCTGTCTCTATCTCTTTCTCTCTCTTCCTCTCTCTCTCTCTCTCTCTCTCGCTCTGTCTTTCTCTTTGTCTGATGCTCATTTCTCCTTCACTCTTCTCCTCTCTTTCTGTCTCTCCTGCTTTCTCTCCCTCTCTCTAACTCTTCTTCTCTGTCCTTTCTCTATCGCTTTCTGTCTTTCTGACTTGTGAAATGTGATTCACTTAGCACCAGCATCTGATTCCTGAACAGTGAGTCATTTATCACTTGATTCTTGGACAGTGAGTCATTTAGCACCTGATATATAAACAGTGAGTCATTTGATTTGTGAACACAGAGTCATTTAACATTTGAATTCTGAACAGTGAGTAATTTATTACATAATTGCTGAACTGGGAGTCATTTACCACCTGAATTCTGAACAGTACGTTGTTGATCATTTGATTCTTGGACAGTGATTCATTTAGCACTGGAATCTGGAATTCTGAACAGTGAGTAATTTACTCACTGAACAGGGAGTCATTTTGCTACAGATTTGTGAACAATGAGTCGTTTAATTCTTAAGATGGCTACTCACTGTTTCTCTCTCTCTCTCTCTCTCTCTCTCTCTCTCTCTCTCTCTCTCTCTCTTTCTGTAGATGTCTCTGATCTTTAATCCAGCAGGTCTGCGAGACGTGCAGCCCCCCTGTGTGCTGCAGAGTTTTGTAAATCATGGAGCTGTGCTGCATAAAGTGTTTGTGGTGGGTGAAGACCATTTCACTGTGGAGCGTCCGTCACTCAAAAACTTCCCCACTGGACCCCATGGTCAGAAAACTCTTCATGAGATCTCTCCATCATCAGTGTGTGGATTAGCTTTTCTTAAATTTATCCTGTTTTGTTCTTCATCTTTAGACAGAGAAACCATCTTCTTTAACAGCCACGAGGTTTCCAAACCAGAGTCCTGTTCACACCTCACAGCTGTAAGTCCGATTAATGTCATCAGACAATTATGCACAATTAATTCTTTAATTCTCCTGTTATTCTACATTTTTTTTATTACAAATAGCTTTCACATTTGTGATTTACATTTTTTGATACAGTTCCAAGACAACTGAGTCATTTAGAACATTATTCTTGAACAGTGAATCTTTTGATTCGTTTGATTCCTGAGCAGTGAATCAGTTAGCATTCAATTTCTAAAAAGTGATTCACTTAGCACCTGAATTCTGAAAAGCGACTTTAGCCCTTTGTTCTTGAACAGTGAGTCATTTAAGACCTGATACCTGAACAGTGATTCATTATCACTCTGTTCCGGAACAGTTAGTAATTTAGCACCTGATCCTTAAATAGGGAGTCATTATTCCTGAGCCATCAGTCAATTAGCACCTGAGCAACTGAGCCTTTTATAACTTGATTCTTCAACTGCAAATAATTTGGCACCTGATTCCTGAACAGTGAGTCATTATCACTTGATTCCTGAACAGTTAGGAATTTAGCACCTGATTCTTAAACAATGAGTCCTTTAGTGATTCCCGAACTGTTCACCTGATTCCTGAACAGTGATTCATTAAGCACCTAAACAGTGAATAATTACACCTGATTGCTGCACTGTGAGTCATTTAGCACCTGATTCCTGAACAGTTAGGAACAGTTAGCACCTGATCCTTAAACAGTGAGTCTTTTATCACCTGATTCTTAAATAGTGAGTCACTCAGCACCTGACTCCTGAACAGTGAGTCGATTAGAACCTGATTCCTGAACAATGTCTCATTTATCACTTGATTCCTCAAGTGCAAAGCATCTGGCACCTGAGTGCTGAACAGTGAGCCATTATCACTTGATTCCTGAACAGTTAGGAAATTAGCACCTGATCCTTAAACAGTGAGTCTTTTATTACCTGATTCCTGAACAGTGAATCATTTAGCATATGAACAGTGAGTGATTACACCTGATTGCTACACTGTGAGTCATTCAGCACCTGATTCCTGAACTGTGAGTCTATTAGAACCTAATTCCTGAACAGTGAGTCATTCAGCACCTGATTCCTGAACAGTGAGTCATTTAGCACCTGATTCCTGAACTGTGAGTCGTTTAGCACCTTATTCCTGAACAGCTGGATGAGACGATTCCTCGGCTCCCAGCCCCCAGCGACGATGCGATGGTTGCCTTGGTGAAGAAGCTGAGGGCGGAGCTTGGAATGGCTCTCTTTGGAGTGGACGTTATTGTAAACATACACAATCACACTCTCACCATCATCGACATCAACATCTTCCCTGGTGAGCACAAACGCATTGAACAACAGTGTAAAGACATCATGATCACAACATGGATTACAATGAAAAAATTCAAGCATAAAAATCTGTTCAAACCACACAATACACTGCGTTAATCTGGAAATCCAGCATTTTCTGTCATTTTTTTGTGTTAAAAAGGCACACCTTCCCATATTTTGGACATAGTTTGAAGAAAGTAGGATTAATCCATTATATAAACTCATATGACATCATTTCCAAATTTGATTTTGGGATTTTTTTGAAAATGAATGGCATGATTCAGAAATTTTCCTTGCAAAAAACAAATTTCTAGCAAAGTCAGAAATGTGGGAACGCTACATATAGTCAACATTTTCCAATGTTACCAACACATCGCTGCTGTCGGAAGAAAACCTCATATCTCCAAAATGGTAACTTTACAGGAGAAGAAAAAACCTACTTTACTTTTAATGTAAGTCAATGGAACCAGACTTTTTCCCAAGTAATCTTGTGTCATTTCTTTTGGTCCATTCATCATGAAATTTGCAAACAATGTAAAGAGCAACAGGCGTTTTCAAATTATGTCAAAAACTGAAAATTATTATTGTTATTCACCAGTTAATTTTTTGCCCAGTTAAAATCCAGCATTGACTGAGCAGTTAAGCAACATTTAAGAGAGAAAATTTCGAACCTGATTTGGCCAAACTTTAAAAACGAATATCTAAAAAACTATTTGGAGCACAGTTTTGAAATTTTACACAGTTGCATAAATTAAGCAGTTTTTTTAGTTCTTTTTCATAAAGATCTGCCAGTAATAACCCAGCAAATCATGTCTGTGGTCTTTTTGAGTTTGAGCAATGTTTCAGATGTTCCTTCACTCTGGTGAAGTCTCCACCCCTCTGTTTCTCACCGTGTGTCCTGCAGGCTATGAAGGCGTTCCTCAGTTCTTCTCCTCGCTCGTCAATCATATCGAGTCTGTGCTGGACCCATCACACACTTCTGAAGCCCAGGAAGATGTCACTGACTCTCAGGTGGAACAGTGACCCTCCAGGGCCACCGTACTCCAGCAGGAACCTGAGGGGAACCATGTACACAATATCTACTTAATAATTATACAGTTCAACTAAATATACGGTCTGAGAAAATATATGATGTAACTCAGTATTATTACTGCTATTATATTATACTACTTATATTATTTAAATAATTCAGTATATATAATAGAGTGATTTCTGCCATCCCACTCGAAGTTGCTGTTTCCAATTTGCATGCTGTTCTGATAACTGTAATGAGGTCATCTATTGATTGTTAGCAATATCAATATCATATTGCTGGACTGCTCGTTCATAGTGCTGACTGTACACAGGTTTGGCTTTCATATCATAAAGAATATGGATCGATCTCAGAACTCTAGCAGGTGCATGTGGTCTATAAACCAAAGATCTTACTGATTCACTTTTACTTGTTCAGTTTCACTTTACGAAGCCTGTTTAGACACAAACTCTATGTGCAGATAGATGCTGCTGTAGAATAAACCTGTATGGAATCGTTCATTATCAAAAAAAACAAATTATTATACGTTCATATGTAATTTTCAGTCTAACTATGAGTGCATTAGCAGTTCAGTGACTTTAATATGTTGCAGATATTTTGTTCCTTTAGCATTACAATTTGCCCTCATCCTCCAATTTTGCATGGAAATAACTCTCAGCACTTATTTCTGTGTACAATTTACAGACACGGCTAAAGTTAAGTGCCTGGAGTCATTTCCATGTAAACTTTACTAAAGTGTCTAGAATTACTACCATGTAAAGTTTACAAAGGTGCCTTGAATTTTTCCATGTAAAGTGCCTGGAGTCATTTCATGTAAAATAAAGTGGCTAGAATGATTTTCATATAAAAATACTGAAGTATCTAAAGTTATTTCCATGTAAAATGTACTAAAGTACAGAAGTGTCTAGGCTTATTTCTGTGTACAATTTACAGAAATGCCTAGAGCTATTTCTATGTAAACTTTACAGACATGCCTAAAGTTACTTTCATGTAAAGTGCCTGGACTCAATTCATGTAAAATAAACTAGAGTGCCTTGAATGATTTTCATATAAAAATTACTTAAGATCTATATATCTAAAGTTATTTCCATGTAAAATTTACAGAAGTGCCAAGAGTAATTTCCAAGTAAAATGTACACAAGTTCCTACAGCTATTTCCATGTAAAATCAACAGAAATGCCTACAGCTATTTCCATGTAAAATTAACAGAAATGCCTACAGCTATTTTCATGTAAAATTTACAGATGTGTCTAAAGCTTTTTTCATGTAAAATGTACAGAAGTGTCCAGGATTATTTCTGTTTAAAATTTACAGACATGCCTATTTTCATGTAAAATTTACAGAAATGCCTAGAGCTATATCCAAGTAAAATTTACAGATGTGTCCAGGATTATTTCTATTTAAAGTTTTTCCATGTACAACTGAAATATCTAAGTTTATTTCTGCAAAATTGGTTGATGAAGGACCCTGTGTAATGCAAAAAGAATAAAAAGTGTATAGACTGAACCACCGAACCGGACTTTCAGTGTGATCGTGCTGTACTTTCATTTTTTTTTTTTTTTTTTTGTTTTATTTATGTATTTATTTTTTGCTTAAGGAATCTTCCTCTCCCCTTCGCATTGCGACACTCCAGCCTATTTGGGAGCCACTACACAAAACCTCCACTTTACATTATGTGAGGATCCACTAAACTTTACACGTTCTTTGCACTCATTTACAAAAAATGTTCTTTAAATAACTGTTCACTGAAAGGTTCTTTAGGGACCCAAATGTGGTTCTTTGACAGCATCATTCTCTCCAAAGATTCTTTAAGAGCGCAGTGTATCAGATCGGCTGGACTGAACCAAATCTCCAGTGCTGAGGGGTTTCAGAGTTCCCCCCTTAGCATACTAATTAGAATCCAGAGGTAACTATGGTAACAGACAGTTATGTAATGTAGTGTCTACACCGACCTACATTTTTATGCTTGTGTGCTTTTGTGCTTGTGAACCTGAAATCAAACTGGTCCTTTTTATCTTGTTATTTCATGTTTTTGATCATATGAAACTTGATTAATCAAATCATATCATTTAAAAACTTTTATTCTTGTTCCATCAAAATGTAAAGACTGCCAAAAGAAGGGGGGGTCAAAGGAAAATAAATAGACAAAACAGAGTTTCCAAACCTGGAGTTCAAAATTGATTAAAAGCTACAAAATGGGATTCCTAACAACCACCTGGAAGAGCTGGTAGACACCAAAACTGCCCCCATCAGATAAACAGCACTTAAAGCTTTCATCTTTGAGAGGGAGGAGAAAATCAAGCTCCACTCTGTAATCTGATCTGAAAACATCCACGGGAGGGGTGGATTAAGGTTTTATGGACTGATAAGTCTAAATATGGAATTGTGGAAGAACTAAAGTTTAGGACCATACCTGAAACCCCACCCCCTTCCAATGTAAGGCCTATAAATTCCCATCTCTACCTTCAGTTTTCCATGATTTTTTTCCAATTCTCACCACCTACCCATCTACTCTCTGTTCTTAAGTCCTATGTCCGTCCTACCACTGTCCAGAAATTGGGTGGGGTGTCCATGTATGTCCAAGCAGAAGCTGCCCAGAACTCCGGCCTTAGTTCTCAGAGTTCTCTCCCCTCCCTCAGTCTGTCACCCCTCACACCACCACCATACGTTGAAGGTACAGTCTGAACTCACAAACTGCATTTGGGATTACTTTGATCCAGTGGCGAACCCTGTTAGAGCTTGGCCTTTAATTTGGGCCATAAATATCAAAAATGGGTCAAAACATGAGGAAAAAAACACCAACTCAACGACAATGCTAACTTCTGATAGCATCCCTATAGGATTCTAGTAGTTTGTTAGCGCTAAGCTAAAGGCGATTCACATGAACACTTTCACTTTCTGACGAGGCTGAAGTTAGCTTCTGATTCAAATTTTCCGTTCCACCTTAAATGGTGCATCGGTTATATTCTGGTGAATAGAAGAACCAGAATATAACTGCTGTACCATTTAAGGTGGAACGGAAAATTAGAGAAAGGCAGTTCTAGATTAAACACAGGTATTTGAAGCATCTAAAAGACATTCCATGTTCTACCCAAAGCTTATTACCTACATTTTAGCATTTACCATGTAGCAGTTTCACAGTGACTTTTAGTGCCCAGGCTTATTTCTGTGCTCAGTTTACAGACATGCCTAAAGTTATTTTCATTGAAAGTGCCTGGAGCCATTTTCATGTAAAATTAACTACTATTTCAATGTAACATTACAGAGATGCCCAGAGTTATTTGCATGTAAAATGTACAAAAATACCCAGGGTTATTTACATGTAAAATTTACAGAAATACCCAGGGTTATTTACATGTAAAATTTACAGAAATACCCAGGGTTATTTACATGTAAAATTTACAGAAATACCCAGGGTTATTTACATGTAAAATTTACAGAAATACCCAGGGTTATTTGCATGTAAAATTTACAGAAATACCCAGGGTTATTTGCATGTAAAATTTACAGAGAATACCCAGGGTTATTTCGCATGTAAAATTTACAGAAATGCCCAGGGTTATTTGCATGTAAAATTTACAGAAATGCTCAGGGTTATTTGCATGTAAAATTTACAGAAATACCCAGGGTTATTTGCATGTAAAATTTACAGAGATGCCCAGGGTTATTTGCATGTAAAATTTACAGAAATACCCAGGGTTATTTGCATGTAAAATTTACAGAGACGCCCAGGGTTATTTGCATGTAAAATTTACAGAAATACCCAGGGTTATTTGCATGTAAAATTTACAGAAATGCTCAGGGTTATTTCAATGTACAATTTACAGAAATACCCAGGGTTATTTCGATGTAAAATTTACAGAGGTGCCCAGGGTTATTTCGATGTAAAATTTACAGAGATGCCCAGGGTTATTTCGATGTAAAATTTACAGAGGTGCCCAGGGTTATTTGCATGTAAAATTTACAGAAATGCTCAGGGTTATTTGCATGTAAAATTTACAGAAATACCCAGGGTTATTTGCATGTAAAATTTACAGAGATGCCCAGGGTTATTTGCATGTAAAATTTACAGAAATACCCAGGGTTATTTGCATGTAAAATTTACAGAGACGCCCAGGGTTATTTGCATGTAAAATTTACAGAAATACCCAGGGTTATTTGCATGTAAAATTTACAGAAATGCTCAGGGTTATTTCAATGTACAATTTACAGAAATACCCAGGGTTTTTTCCATGTACAATTTACAGAAATACCCAGGGTTATTTGCATGTAAAATTCACAGAAATGCCCAGGGTTATTTGCACGTAAAATTTACAGAAGTACCCAGGGTTATTTCAATGTAAAATTTACTGAGATGCCCAGGGTTATTTGCATGTAACTATGGGCCTAGAATTATTTCCATGTGTATTTTACAACATATTAGCATTTTACCTTGTAGCAGTTTCACAGTAGAGAACTCTGCTAAAGAGCCGTTTTCCATTTCTAACAACCTATTAATTAAGCTGCTGCTCATATTCAGTCAGTGACATATCTAGAACCTCCAGAAGGCGTAGAGTAACATTTCGTTCTTTTATCATGAAATGATTTCCCACTAGAAATCAAAACATGACTGGTTGATTTGTCTGACACTGTATAATTATGCCCTAACACTCTAGGCCTTTTCTTCTGCTCCTAAAGTCCTAACCAATAGGAGAGCTCGCTTAGCTATATCTATAGAGGTACTGTGGAGAAAAACAATCCTGATTGGCCAGTTTTCTGCTCATTGTTTAAAAAATTTAGCCCTTTTGTTTACCTTCAAAATTTTTCAATGAAGCAAGAGCAGTACTGTAGTACATGCAGAGTTTAAATTCAAGCATGATTCTGTTGGTTTCTGCCACAGCGGAAGCGAGCTTTCTTCGCAGGGTGGCGGGCTACAGTCTACTCGACAGGGTGGGGAGCTCGGTCATCCGGGCGAACCTCAAAGTAGAGCCACTACTCCTCCACATTGAAT